ACGTGTGCTCTTCCGATCTATATGGCGACGAAATGTTGCAAGTATTCCGCTCAACAAACCTGGCAGTACACGGAACATTTTTCGTGCTCAACTTTTTTCCCTCTAGCCTATCTAGTTACGTCTCCTTATTCTTACTTCATGGTCTTATTTAACAGTCTATCTCAGTCTATCTAGAGTTCTAGATTATCAGAGAAGCGCGACCGGTTTATGGCAGTATTGCAAAAGTACAAGAAAATATTAAAAATGTACTAAAAATGGCGTCGAATAACCAATGATAAAATTGATTTATTCGGTAGCCATTTATAATACCGATAAATCAATCTTATGATTGGCCATTTGCGAGTCCAATCAGGACTCGTAACACCAGTCGCGCTTCTCTGATAATCTGAGACTCTAGTTATACTGTGCATTCATGGTTCTTACTAATTTTTTTCTAATAGTTTCTCATCTATCTATCTGTTCTGTTTTACTCGTGACTGTCTTAAAATGACAGTTTTCAACAGTTTCGTCCAGTTTTGTCATATGAGAGAATGTATGAGACGTGATACAATTGTTACATTGTGTAGATTACTTTAAATTACAAAATCTTAGTGATTCCAATATCGCAATGTGCTGAATTTCGAGATATAAGTGTCATGCCTCGAGAATCGTGGTATTCGACGATTGTCGAATGGAATGAACTTCAATCACGCGTATATTGCATCTGACGCGGAATATTCGCACATCTGTTTTTCCCGTTTAGAAAGCGAGTTAAAGTGGATTCTAGGAACATGCATTAACTGTCGAAACGTGAATCATACCAATTATATCAATTACACTATATTGGTGTTGTATATCGAAAGTCATATTTTGATCATGGAGGTTATTGATATTAATTAACATTAAATTGTATATACAGTTAGTAGAAGTTGCGTAAAGTTTGATTTAAGTTAAATTTATTTAGTGAAAACACGACGCGAAACGCATCGTGGTATCATGGAGAAGTTTATGATTGACTTGGACAAAGTCCTCAATGACTTTGAATTCAATGAAGGTATAAATTTTCAAAGAAAATATATTTGAGTTTTAGGAAAATTCTTTATATACTTGAGTAAAAAAAGTGATTTTATATTTTTTCTATACTTGACTAAATTTTTGGAATTAATTCTATATTCAAAAAGTTTATATTTTGATAAAAAAATATACTTTTTTCTTTTCAAATGAGAAAATATATAAAATAAGAATTATAACGAATTTGATTGGACACAGTAGTGTGCATTCAGAGCACATGCCATTATACATTGTTGTTATTTCAATGTAGTATAGATGTAGAATAGTTATTTCAATGTAGAAATATCTCAAATAATAAAATGCCCAATACATATTTATCAAATAATACAATAAAGTACTAAGAATTTCATAGTTTAACTTGTTTCTATATTTCTCTGTATTAAACATACATCTTTACGTTGATTTGTATAGAACGATTTTAATGTACATTGATTGTGTTCTAATGCATCCACTGAACTCTAATATTGTTAATATCATTAGAGTTCAGTAAGTGCGTCCAATCGAATTTACTGTTCGAATGCTTGAACAAGACAGTTTAAGAATTCCTTAACATTAGAAATCTTTCATGGATATATTTTGTCTATACTTTAATCTGCAGATTACTAAACCTTAAGATAGAAAATTTTTATTTTATAAAATTTACCTTACAAATAGATATATTTGTGTTGAAAGTCGTATGAAAAAATATTGTATATAAACTAAAACTTGAATAAAAGTTTAGTTAGTTAATAATTAAAAATTCAATTATTTGCAGATTGTGCAGAGCAAATAGCATCAGTCACAACTTCTACAGTTGATGCATCATCTGTGGAGAAGCATACTAATGAATCTGTGCCCCCAAAAATGTATAACTTTAATCCTGAGAAAGACATAACAATCGATGTAGCATCATCTGCTGAAAAATGCAGAGATATTCGGCCAATAGACGTTGACTCCAGTTACTCACTAACTGAAAAAAATATGGTATTTATATCGGACAGTAAAGATTCCGTAAATAATTTTTATACACGTGATCGTATCAATGACATCACAACTGGACAGAAATCATGTGTTTATACTTATGATTCTGATCAAGTGTCTTCAACGATGTATAGTGACATATCACAAAACTCGATACTGAAACAACAGCATGCAAATGATTCAAAAGATAGTGATAGATATGACAAAAAATTAAATCAACCAAATTTCAAACCTAGTATCAGCAATGTATTTAATAGCTTAAATGAATATATTAATGCTCCCACTGGAAGCTTAAGTTATGTTGAGCCTATGTTGGATAAAGCAGATGATTTATCTGAAAGGTCTGCAGATGACATAGTGGAGAAAGATTTTAGATCGAGCAGAGATATTGCAATTAATGAATGTTCAATTTCAATGGAGAAAGGAATAATGAATGTAATCGACAAGAATATTTTGGATCATAAAAATATCTTACCGACGGAATTGGGTACATTTGCCAAAGTCGAAATTAGTAACAAACAAGATAATACAGTGCAGAATATTATGTTTCATCCTCCTCCAATACAGTCTGAAGAAAGTAATAGCAATCCTGTAATTTCTGTACCAAGCACGGCCATCTCGAAACATAATAATGTTACAACAGATGCGAAACTGTTTAGTAATAAAGGTGATGTAGATAAAAAGATCATGATTAATGATACATTAAAAAAAAATTCTGACAGTATCATTATCAAACAAAAGCATTTAGATTTGGATCAGCGAGATTCCATCGACAAATACACATTTGTCGAAAATAAAGAAAGTATAGCAGAGACTACAAAGTTAGATCAAAGTATAACAAGCAGCGAAATTCACGATAAGAATGTAGAAACAACTAAGAACAATATTTTCTCCAATGTACGAATGATACATACAATTGATACCAGCGACGACTTTTCAGAAGAAGAATTAAATCAGTATTTATTAGAATTAGAGAAAGAAGAAAGATCTAAAACAGAAAATGTATCACTTTCGGATAATACTTGGTTATCACAATCGTATGACGAATCGAGAAGTGATAAAGAAAAGAATGCCAGTCACTGTCAACGAGATGACGAAAATGTTAATGATGTGCTGATATTCGAGAAATTTATGATAGGCGAACTTCCAAAAATATCACAGGAGGAATTTCAGGAGAAGACGAAAACATTTCCTGTAATTGATTATAATGTGGATATATGTAATGAAAATGTGACAGATGTAAAATGTAATAATACTGTAAAAGTTGATTTAAATGAAAAAAGCAATCAACTAAGAGACACACAAAATAATGAGCTAGACAAAACGATAACAGATAATCATGTAACTGATGGTCAAGATGTAGCAATACAAGAGAATATTTTACAAACTATACCTGATATCGCCGTTCAAGATAAAGTTACATCAAAGTTTGAAAATACTGGAGAACAATTGTATAGTAATAATATGATACAGACATTACAACAAGATTCTAATAGTGATACTCTATCACAGGATAACAGCGACGCTTTATTAAATTTATCAGAAAACAAAGAAGATCAAGACAAGAGAGTATACTGTGAAGATATTACCGAAAATAACAAAGATGTTTTTGTAGTACATGAACCTCGCACGCATGACAACGAAAAGATCTCCAAGGTGGAAATTGTATCTAAAGCCAGTGATACTCATACAAAAGAAAATCAGGAAATTGAAAAACCGACCCGTCCTCAAACTTTAGATATTGTATTGACGCATGATAAAAATGATTCCCATACGTTCGGTATGTTGCTTTAATGTTTTATTTTTAAACTTCTATTGTTATATAAGTTGTCTCAAATTTTAATGGTTGAGCTATCAGCACTTATATTCTATAGGGGAAACAGGTTATATATATGTAATATGCAATTTGCAAAATCAACTACATATATTTTTAAAAGAAGCTATGTGTTTTCTTTATATCGATCGATTTATTTTATTAGTCTGTGTATAAAAGTAAAGATACAGTTATTAAGAAATCAATAGTTTACGAGATATTTCATATTTTATGTCAAAATGTGGTATGTTAAAATATAAAATATCTGATAAAATATTGGTTTTTCGATCATTTTTATATGAAAAATAATTAGAAGAATCATATTTTGTAAAAAATTGTATAATTTCATTTAAGATTTTGCCATTGCCTCCCAAAGTTAAACTGATTATTAGTCCCTTGAACAATTTTCATCTGAAACATTTTTCCCTAAAATGCTTTCTTTTCAAGATATTTAAGTGCAAGTTAAGGGGGTATTCTAGTCTAGCGGATCGGAAAAATCGATTTTTTAAAACATATTTTGCAAGTATTTGATGTGGAAAATATGTCTGCAAAAGGATTTAGTCTGATTTGCAAAATTAACAATAACAAAGTTATAGGCCAGTACTCGTAATCGATTCTTATATTTCGTCGAGATCGTCTTAAGTATAGTCTTAAGATGTTACAAGCTAATAACAGAGCCGAATTAGTATCTTAAGACATTACTTAAGATGGCTTTAAAATAAAAACCGACTTATGAATACCGGCCATAACTTGATAGACCACTTGATAAACCACTTGATAGAGAGTGGTCTCAATCTATGTAATCAGTACAAAAAACTTTAAACGCGTTGTTCTCGAAACCAATTTTCCAAATTGGTACCCATAATATCTCGAAAACCAATTGACCAATCAA